ATCAATCCTTGTGGTGTGTGACGCTTCATTGCATTAGTTTAGTTATCCAAATAACACATCGGTCGCCCTGTGCTACGTTTCTAAATTGATTTGGAGACTAGTGTCTTTTGTCAACTTGCTGACCAGAGAACCTACCTTACACGAGCTAAAGCAAAGCGGGTGGATGCTGATGAAGAAAAAAAATTGAAAGTCTAACCTACCTACGTTTTCATTATTTTTTTGGCCTAATTCAAAATTTAGCAGAAAGTAACTGAACATGACATCACTATTTGTTTGCCTTTACATCATAGTTTGTTTGAACACAGTCCCTTCTGTCCTGGCCACAGCCCCCCTCGACCTTTCGATAATTCGCGCTTAATAATTAGCAAGGGTTGCAATTACTGATTGTTATTAACCTAAGTTACTGCTACCATATAGGTCATAAAAAGGACTACGAACGTCGCCATTTTTACAGCTTTATTGCAACACTGTTTGTACAGCTCGTTCAGCCGATTTTAATTTGCTGCCAAGCATTACAAATAATGGTTATTTTTAGTGCAATGACCAGACAATCGTTCAATCACAACTTAATACGACAAATTAAAAAAAATCAAAATACAAATAACGACAACACGCTCCAAAAATATACCTTAGGTTCTGGCATAGCAGGTTTCCACTTATTTGTACGGAAAATGTTGTCATTTTCTTCGTCGCTCGGTTCCGTGTCGTACCCAGTTAATGCGTCCATGTTGGAAATACCCGGATGCATCGAGTTTTTTTCTGATATCGCGAGACTGGAAGATGCCATTTGTATTGAGGTGGTTATAGGTAAATAAAGTTGGTTGAGTAATAATAATAATTGTTATCTAAAAATCAAACCGACAGACTGACAAGAAAAAAATAATTTATAGAATACAGTTATCAATTGTAATAGTGATATAGAACATTGACGAATAACAAAAAGAAATTTATTCAATACGCATTTAAGTTCCCCCCATAACAAAGTTCAACTACATTCTAAAAATGGCAGCCCCCTTGGAGTCCATGAGGGCTTGTTGATTTTTGTTTATTGTACCTTATCCAAATACTAGTGATTTTCAAAATGAAACATAGTTCACAAAAACATCAAGACGATGCAGGTCAAACTGCAGCGAATGTAACAAAGGTTGAAAAACGTCTGGGCAATGAAGATATTCCAAGAGAGACCGAAAACAAATGCAAAACGGGGACAGAAAATGATAAATCCATCGATTTGGATGATGTCTGGAAAAATGTCAAACCAATTACACACTCAACAGGAATTCCAAAGGGAAGACCAAAATCCGGGCGAACATGGAAAACTGAACAAACTAAAAGGTATGTCAGCCAAAGACCGTTTATTTGTTGTCATCTATCCAGTGTGCCTTCTCACAGGAATGATTTTGGTAAAGGTGTCCGCGGAACACGGCCGGCTGTAGAACTCGGCCATCGGTTGAAGTCGGCCAGTGTTAATGGTCTGCGACTGTTGATTTATGTCATTATTATCACTGTAAAAAATAAAATACTGTATGATACACGGCGACCAGTATTATTCGTGGTGTTTTTACATAGCAGAGCCAGACGGTCTGTGTTTCCGGTGTAATGTCTGTGTCTTTTTGTAAACTTGCGTCCCTAAAATCGACTACAGGCACAGGAATTATTGAAATCAACAACATGTCAGAGAACAGTACAGTTGCTGGGCTGTTATCATCGTCCGAATCGCACGGCCCCTTGTCTTTGACCTATTGTCCTCTACACGATACCGTGCGGGATCGCATAGGCTAATTGCGTATCTTATTAAGCAGTAAGATGTGATTGGGCGCGCTCCGAAACAAGGCATCCAATCAGCTTGGACGTACCAAATTATAAAACAAAATTCCACTTCCTGTTTTTGTCGCTATGAAGTCATCCTTCCCACACAAAACTGCGTCGATTGCCTGTACCTGATGAGGCTTGAGGGCACCAACACCGAAAACTTTTGTTTAAAATGAAACTCCAAAAAGGGATTTGTAACACGCAAACTGATTGGACAATGATTAGGCTACTGGGGGCGCTGTTAGAATACGCACATTTGATGGTCGTTCTGCCAAGGTCTGTTTAGAGGCATGGCCGAATAAACTTCGACCTTGGCTAGTAAAGATGGGCTGTTATGTGGCATATAGTTTCTTTTTGTTGTTGTAAACTTGTGTCACTGACCACTTCACACTTCGGCAATTACAACTGGCCGAGTACGACTATTTTTATCAGGCAGATTTAGAATCGGACCGAGTTCGACTGTATTCTTATGTCTTACTCCCCCCCCCCCACTTGTATATCATGTATATATACAAGTCTCACAATAATAGACATCATCTAGTCTATTTAGTCAATAAGGTGATATTTCTTGATGACCTTATTAAAACACATTAATATGTCCTTCTAATAGGTGATTTTTTGTTCAACTGCGAGATATTGTGAGTTGCGTGAAAGACGTGTGCCGAACGTCTGCCACAAAAATCAAACGATTTGATTTGATTTTGTACTCTTTGACAGGAATATTGCATTTGAATGTGTACAAAATATTTGTCGAATCCCACACGAAGTTTGTCACCATTACGACGCTATGATCTTTGTTTGTCCTGTTTTTACGTTTGATTTCACACATAACGCGGGATCTCGTAGTGAATGGAAAATAGTCTATTGTGCAGGCACTGATACTGCAAATGCATACAACGTCTATTGTCTGGTATGGGTGTTGGGAAACTGCCAACTGGTGCTTTAACTCACCACAGGTATACCTGTATTAAATAAAAAAAAACTTACCGGTAGTTTTGAAATTGGAATGAAATTACCGCCAATCCCATTTCATTGTCCACGATAAATGGAATAGTATGGTACTAGTACATGTATGTGTTATGAGTTTGTGACCATGATTATATACAGTTTGTCACCTGGGTATTGTTGCACGTTTAGTATTTAACAAATTGAGATTGGGCGAGTTGGTATCGGTGTGTGGGTTATTTCGATGGTGCTTGTGTGAGCTCATGTTGTAGGACTTCCAAAATTAATTAAATGATTAACTGTCAAGTGATTGTACCAGCAAAGTCTATTTGAATGTCATTGTAAGCCTTCTAGTGGTCAGATGTAATGGTCATACCATCTGTGATGTGTTACTTTCTGCATGCAGATTTGGGCAATTTTATGTTGATGATTATCCACAACAGCATGAACTAGCTCACTGCAACAGTTGTAATACTGTGGAATAATTTATTTTCGCTGAAAAGGCTTTTTGGGCGTTCTTTATGGAATTTATTTTCACTGATTTTTGATGAGTTGACTGTGAAATATAGGAAAAAAAAGTATATTCGCTGGATTTTATTTTCACGGAATCATCCCTTCAGCGAAAATAGCGAAAATAAATTCCAAGCGAAAATAAAGTATTCTACAGTAGTTGCTTATGATTTGTGTACTACTGACACACGCATATATATTGTAATATACAACATATATTCGCAGATTTATCTGAAATATCACTTACAAGAAAATATATCGCCATGGGCGATTAAGCGCCTGGATGCTGCAAAAAATAAAATAATGTGGGAGCAAAAATTATTGTTTTTTTCAGAAGTATGAATTATTAGAATACAAATTGGCATCACCAGACTTTATAATAGCGAGAATTTAACACACATGTCGTTGCCTTGGAGCTTAGTAGAAAGTACCGGTATGCAATGAAATCTGCCTTAAAATAATACTACATAACATTCAACTTATCTTTTAGATAAATACGATTGGTATAATGATGCGAAACAAATATTCGCGAGTCCTACGAGACTTCAAAAATTAAATTTCTTCACGAAACAATCTTGAGATCACAGAAGTGACAACTCGGGTGATCAGGTGACATATAACACCATTACAAAAGTATGTATTCTGACGCATGCAGTAAAGTAGTCCCAAAAACGTCACAATCATACAGACATAGGTGTGAATATTACTAATAATCCATGTTTGGTTGATTTGTTTGATTTCTCTTGCTACAGATTTTCAGATATCAGAAAAGATAAACCACTACGCTCTACATGGCAGAAGAAAATGCAATTGAAATCAGAAAAGAAAAATATAAAAAAAGTATGAACAAGAATTAAAAGAAGCCAGATCCAAAGAATTGGAGGTAAGGTTGATAGAAAGCAACAATTCAAGTACCATATTGGTTCTATGGGTAGTGCACATACTTAGGTAAATGACAGAAATGTGTTTAACGTCATGGTAACTTACTTTTGACAAATTTTGAGTTGGGCCAAAAAAACAAATTGTGTGGTCACGATGACATATTTGTAACATTGTACATAGATGCTCAGGGACAATGCGCAGACCTGATTAGTTTTGGATAAAAACGCCATGCATATTAATTATCTAATTTGCATAATGATTTGTCAATTTTCTACTTATATCTCAAGTACTAATCATCACATTACAATGAAACTTGGCACATAGATGCAATAAGACAATGCAGAGATCTGATAAGTTTTGGGTTAATATCCATGCATATTAATTACATAATTTGCATAATTAGTAAATTTTTTGGTCTTTCCGCTGATACTAATCATTACATTTCAATGAAACTTTGTACATAGATGTTCTATGACTATTCACAGACCTGATTAGTTTGGGGTAAAAAATGTGTGCTTATTAGTAACCTAATTTGCATATTGATTAGCAAATTTTCGGCATTTTCATTTGTTTCTGAAGTACCTTTCAACAGATTTTGATGAAACGTGGTACATAGATGCCTTGGGATAATGTGCAAACCTGGTTAGTTTGGTTTTGAAATCAATGTGATACAGCTACTGTTGCTGATAGCGACATGCAACTGGTGCTATAATTTTGTCTGACAAAATATATGACCAAAATATACATGTGTATGGTCATTATTTCATTAAATATTTATAATTGTTAAACCTTACCTTCTTGGAACCTCCCAGATCATTGCTTGCAGTTATATTTTTAAATGCAGTATTTGCATTATTAATAGAAGCATGTGTGCATGCTAATTTCATGCCTCCAATACCTTCAGTACACAAGAGTCCTTTCTAAGCTTTCTTTGATTAGTATACTAGTATATTTGCACTTCTATTTAGAGATGTGCTTTAAATAGAGCAAATACGCTGCATACAGAGTGTAGGTATAAAGTTTCATAATGACAGTTCTTTAAGATGTAGTACCAGGAACTAATGTTTTCATGGTGAAGCCATTTTCTCATAATTTTTGTGTTGTGTTTTTTTTTACCATCAAAGTCACACTTCCAAGCTGGCTATCAGCTTATAATTTTTAAAGCGAGTATCATTGTCATAACATATTTCAACTAGTTTTTGTAGTATTTACCTATTTTACTTATTGTAGAATACTTTATTTTCACTTGGAATTTATTTTCGCTATTTTCGCTGAAGGGATGATTCCGTGAAAATAAAATCCAGCGAATATCCTTTTTTTCTATATTTCATATTAAACTCATCAAAAATCAGTAAAAATAAATTCCAAGCAAAACGCCCCAAAAAGCCTTTTCAGCGAAAATTAATTCCAGCGAAAATAAAGTATTCCACAGTATATTTATGCAGATTTCTCTGGACATTTTAGACATGTAGCACTTGTGAATGCAAGCCAAGCTAACTTTTAAAGCCGTCTTAAAGGTGGCTAAATATTAGGTTACGATTCTTACTGTATATGTACCACCTTCAAAATCCAATAAGTAGTATATATATATATATATATACACACACACACAATCATGGTATGTTCACCTTTCAGATTCGACTTAAAAAGAAAGCTGACAAGAGGAATAAGAAATTGGAAAATGAGAGAAAATCTGAAGTTGTGCAAGTGGTAAGAATTCTGTTTCTAAATTCTCGTACAGTATATGCATTCCTGGAGGTATAAGGTGACACATGACTATGTGGCGGTGTCTGTTGCATGCATACTGGTGGTGTTTAGTTGAAATATCTAAAAACAGTGGCTCCCTTAGCCGACACCTTGACATTTCTGGTTTTCAGTTATTGGGTTTCACTCCTGTTTTTTATGCTGGATTCCAACTACAAACATGTTTTCTTATTTCCGTACTTGACCATGACACAGAAAATCATGATATTCTAGGATTGGGTGATTAACACAAAACATCAAAAGAATGCCATGACTTGTAGAAATGGTTGCTTTGCCAAATGTGACTGGACAACGCAATTCCTAATCTAGTATCGCCTGGTACAATAATTACAGTTGTTGGTGTACATACACTTTTAAAACTGTCATATCAAAAACTTTTCTTATGCATATTAAATATTTTCTCTACGATTTTGACCAATGAAGAAAGCAGGCATCTAAATTTTTTTGTTTCCACACACAGGATTTAGAAATGTACGCAGCCAATAAGTCGTTATGGACATGGCTAATTAGCCTGCAACCATCTTCTAAAAAAACCCACATACACATGTATTAAAGTGAGAGGGTTAAATTGTCACCTGCGCATGCACAGGAATTGAGTCCCAAGCTAAAAACGCAAAGGCTCATGCGCAGACGCTTGTTTGTAAACTATGACATGCTATGACCATCTGACGCATGTGCTTTAAGATATTTTAGAACAATTTGTTCAGGTGTGTCTTTCTGTTCCTCCTTTTATTAATTTTATGCTTTTTTCTTTTTTCAGATAAAAAATACAGCCAAGATCAAGAGAATGAAAAAGAAGCAGTTGAGAGCCATTGAAAAAAGAGATACAACCAAGATGTTGAAGAAATAAATTGGTTTATTTATAAAATAATACATGAGTGCTGGTTTTCATTCTCCTCATAGTTCTTTTCATCAGGTTACTGTCGTTGTACTTTCATCCCTTAATGAGTATCTCTTGGGCCACCTCCTGCGATCCAGTCAATACGGGTGTAATTTTTAACTGTAAGGCACAATTTAAAATAATTGTAAAATAAATTGTTTTAAATGAATGGTAGTCATTTGATACGAGTCCCATGCTATGCATAGCAACATAAAAAAAAATGCATTGTTTATTTGCACAAAATTTGAGTACGCGTCCCCAGCAATTACACTACAATTTGTCTTGTGCCAAAATATGATGCTCACATTCAATAACGGATATTATTCGTTCAACATCCTTTTTCAGCATTTACTAGGGACAGTGTGTGTCCCGTTCTGAACAGTTCGCAGTTGCTTTCTTTATTCTTAACAATGTGCATTTACCTGGAGAGAACTGTTTTTGTTGAAAACTTGTCCGTACTCTACAAGTTTTTCACATCGAAGTGGAAAGTACAACTTTCCTCTCACAGCAGCAACACTCTGGATTCCAAAGCAGATGGTTTGTGATGGACTGTAGTTTACTACAATACATAGATACAATGAGGTGTACGGTAATACTTCAGTTCATTGTCCTGTACTATAGATTTGCATAACACATGTACACTGTGACAACACACAACCCATGATGGTGCTGCAGAAAAAA